CCTTGAAGTGTAAACTTGTTTAATAAACCATATCTTTCATTTTCGATTTTTAATTCACGTAGTCCGGGAACTTTCCGGACAAACTGTGTAGACCAGGACTTTACCATCTCTTATGAGAGGTTGCAAAATATTAACGATGCGTTTCTGAAATTCGGCCGGAGCCTCACAGAATCCAAAAGGCAGGCAAACAAATTCATATTGCCCGTCGGGCATCGCGAAGGGGAAATATTTCGTGCTATCTTTGTCAACTTTGATTTGATGGAAACCATCTTTGAGGTCTAGGAGTGTGAAGACCTTATTTCCCAGGTGCGCTATGCAGTCCTCGATCAAGGGAAATGGATATTTTTGTTTACTGACCCTATCGTTTAAGAGTCTTAAGTCAACACAAAAGCGTAGCGAATCGTTTCTTTTTCTCACCGGAACGACTCTGGCGCAATAAGAAGACGAACTTTTCTTAATGATGTTACGAGCTAAAAGGTCGTCTGTAATCCGGCGGATTTGTATCTTTTCCGCTAACGCAAACCGGCGAGGCGAGTACGCATATATTGAGCTATTTTTAAGGTGAACCTTATTGTAATAGTCATCATCTACTTTGTTTATTTTTAAATTATCAATTTCAGAAATTAATTCTTTTAATTTTGCTTTGGTTTCAGGATCAAAATCTACTTGAATTTTGTCAGCTATATTCTCCGGCGCTTTATTAATTTCGCAAGCGAGAATTTGAAGAAACGTTTGCTCGAATTCTTGCTCCTCGCAATCCGTAGAAAGATTTTTCTGCTGGCTATCTTTACTAGGTTGATAAATAGCTGTAATGCCATGACGATTCAAAAAGTCTCTACCAATGATAAGATCTGTCGTCAAAACGTTATCTTGCAAGACATGCAAAGAAATCGGCAGTTTCAAATGTGGCAACTGACTGAACGAAATCAAGGTATTTACAATTCCAGAAATTAAAACTGGTTTACCATTAAGAGCTTTATATGAATTCAAAGAATCTACAAGGAAATTTTTTAATTTGACCCTGCAATTTATGATAAATTATAAGATTTATGAACGATATCGGACTACCGGTATCAAGCAGAGCTGACAGCAAGCAAACTGAACTCTCTAGGAATATGACTTTTAACGGCGCGTCGTGAAAGTGAATAGATTTCGGACTAGAATTTACGAACGCTATCGTTGATGGCTTGTCGACTTCCACCGAAAAAACAGATGAAGACGATGGCGTCGCTGCTGCTGAGGTAGTCTGCTCATTCTTCTTTTTTAATTTCAAGCAATCCGCTCTAAGATGTCCACGGCTTTTGGAATAGATACAAAAAATATTTTCGGTTACATTTTTAAGTTGGTTTCCTTTGGCGCTGTTTTTGGTGGCAGCCTCCTTGGTCTTGGGAGCCTTCAGATCTGCAGTAGATTTCCTGTCTAGATCTGCGGAAACGGAAGTAATCTGATGCATTGCGTCCAAAAATTTATCAACTGATTCAGACCTCAACGCAGCGGCTGTCTCGCTTAGTGAACGATTAAGAATGCCGCTGATAATCAAGTGAATTGCGCTGTCATCGTCGAGGTTTAAGGTATGCATTAACGAGATTTTATCCATTGCATACTCCAAAAAACTTTCCTTATGGGCTATTTACTTACGCGCTTCTATTTTTTGTAAAGCAACGTGATACAAAATTTTGCGTGTGAAGCGTTTAAATATTGCCTCACGAAAACCGTCCCACGACTCTAGCATTGAACCGTGACCCAAGTCGAACCAACGCTTAGCTGTCTTAGTTAATTGTGTCGTAGAAGCTAAATAAGAGACATCTGCAGGTACCTTATGTATTTGAGCTACCTGCTCGACACGCTGAATCCACAGCTGCACGTTCTCGTCCTCCTGTTCTCCGAACTCAGGTATTTGTGATGCGAGCAAGGAGACAGAGATGCCAGATCGGAGACTCAGTAAGCATGCAACAGCAAGTGGAGGGGATACGCACACACGCGACAGCCGTGTCCGTGTGCGCTCGGCGCTTCGGCCAATGGTTGGCCAACCACACGGACACGGCTGTCGCCTGTGTGCGTATCCCCTCCACTTGCTGTTGCATGCTTACTGAGTCTCCGATCTGGCATCTCTGCAAGGAGACAGCATGAGAAGACGGCACAGCTGACAATGTAGATGGGCGTGACGAGAGATGGCTATATGGTGTGAGCACCTCTTGCACCTGCTGTTCATGCAAAACGGCATCAACTGGCTGAGAACGATCGTTGTGAGTATGATCGGGCTGTGTGCGATTGAATGCACCCATCATCTGCTGCAACACCTCTAATTGTTGCTGTTGACCTTGCAGAATCTGTTGCTGCATGGTTTTCATAGACTCGTTGATCGTTGCCACCAGAAAGGACATATCCGTAGCCACTGGATGCTCGGAGGAAAGTAAGTGCGCTAACGGTTGGTCGCCAATCGGCGGCCTCCGCACTGCTATCTTGGCACTTGACCGGGGAAGAACTTCTGAAGAACCATGTCTAGCTTTAGCCGCGAGATCAACGTTCCAAATGAGACATCAGCGAGTCAATTATTTTAATTGGATCGTCGCACACTTGAAGACCGTATTTCTTTGCCTTGTTCTTCAACTCGTCCAAGGACATTTTGTCCAAAACAGTACGTTCCATATTGGAGCGATCCCTGTATACTTGTGTGATTCAAAATTTGTACGTCGTAAACACCAAACAGAACCGAAGATTGACCTTCGCGTGTATTTGTGTAAATATGTGTGAGTGTGTGTCTAAACTGATCGTGAAGCGTGACCTTCACTGCGTGTTTACTGTTTCCTAACGGACTCGGTTCAAATTTATGCGTTAAAACTTTTAATTTGTTTTTCAGGCAAGGAAAAATTCAACGAGCACAAAGCGGAGTCGGAAACGGTGAAACAGCAGAGAAAAGGAGCAACGTGGAAACCGGAGCAACGACGGCAAAAGAGGAAGATGCGATCGGAACCAGGAATACGACACATCAAATTGGAGCATACAGCACAATTTCTAGCAGCGAAGGAAAACGGAAGTGAGGGAGGAAAAGCGGAGCAGGAATCCCACTTCTGAGATTTAATTGTCTGTAGAATCTGAATGATTTTATTTGTCAGAGTGGCTGAAGCCGTTGAATGTAAGAACGGTGGAACGAGAATATAACGCAACTGTAATAGTTATGGAGATGTAAGAAATAAACGATAAAAGTTCTATTAACACTATTTACTTTACCGCACTGACAAATAATATTTAGAACCATACACAATAATGTCACCACGATCAACGATCAAACAGACTCTACAGATTAAGATGAGCGCGCACCGTTCAGAAGGAGCCACAGGAAAAACTCTCCCTTTTCTACGCAAGAAGTACGGCACTCTTCTGCCGCATGGCCTTAACCGGCGTTACCGACTGGTCGTTTCAGCGCCGCCTGTTCGACTCTCGAGGAGTCATTACAATCGAATAATACTATCGACTTTTACAGCTATCGCATGAATTAACCCTTTTGGTTATAAGAGGTCGCTACTAATTGAATTAATTGTGATTAATTTTCTTACAATACTGTGTTGTGAAAAAGGTGCATTTTGCAATTTGTGCTCGGTAAGTTAGATCTTTTAGTTGGTATGCATCAGTTTTATATTCGAACAAAATACGAAGCTACACTGTATTATACGAAGGAAGCTGTATGTGCATTTCTGCAATTTTGTGCTCAGCAATTTGGATATAAGAATATAATATAATTAAACATAATATAAAGATAGAAATATAATATGTATCATAAATACTTTATACAGGGTGTCTCAGAATTGGTTTAACATCTCTCGTAGGCAGGTAGAAGGAATAAAACTGAGGTGAAAAGTTTTATACCATTTTGCTAGACTCGCAATAGTTACCGAGATTTTAAGTAACAAAAATCCGCGAATAAGCGTGCATCAGGCTGTCTTACGCGCGTAGGACAGCCCGGCGCGCTTTACACAATTACATTTTAATATGTATATGTTATAGTATATGCTGTTATATTAGCTCCTCTCATATGTCGCTATGGGTAACACCGTTAGCGCGCGAAGCGCGGCGGGCAGTCTTACGCGCGTAAGACAGCCCGATGCATGCTTATTCGCGGATCTTTGTTAATTAAAATCTCAGTAACTATTGCGAATCTAGCAAAATGGTATAGGACTTTTCACCTCAGTTTTATTCCTTCCACTTGCCTACGAGAGATGTTAAACCAATTCTGGGACACCCTGTATATATTATAAATAATGTATATTATAAATTTATGTATATTATAAATATTTATGTATATTATAAATATTTAATATATTTTAAATAATGAAATATTTTTAAGATTGTTTTATTTATATTTTAACTGAAAAATCCTAACTTAACCTAATCTAAAAGCAGGATATAGTACTGATCAAGACTTGTGTGTTTGCATGATGCCGGCATTCTGAAGTGCATTCTGCTTACACAAAGCTCGCATAGAGTGTTGAGCATAACGTGTCGTTGCGATGCTTGCCAGATGGACCTGTATCTGGCAGTCACAGAAACAGTACGCCATGGAAAGCATGCTTGCATAATGCCGGCACGTTGCCATCATTTTGTGTGCTGAGTATATGCAAGGCTGGGTAAAATACAGAATTGAAGTATTTAAAATACAAAATACAAAATACTGTTAATCTCAGTATTTGAATTACAAAATACAGAATACTTGAAAATCGTTTATTTGAAATACAAAATATTTTTTTTAAATACAAAATACTTTTTAATCCAGTCTTTTGATTACAATAATTTATAATAAACTATATTACTTCTTTTGTAAAATAGATTCTGAAAAGAAAGAGGTTTTATGTTGTAGTTTTTTTCTAGAGAACTCAGGAAAAAATAGATTAAATCTAAGTCGATCTAAATTAAATCTAACAAAAGAAAAAAACTGAAAGTATATCTTATTAGATCCAAATTAAAAAACTGAAAAATTATATCTACCCAGATAACCAAATCTGTCGAAACAGATTTTGCCAAATGCTTGTTACAAATTTTGTTAGCAGAAAGACATCAAATATGATGCAGAGTTCGTTTCATCTGGCAATGTTGCAAAATTGCTAGCAAAAATATATCCAATCTTGTTAACAAAACATAACAGCAAATTGCTGGCAAAAACCGAGCAAAGCTTGCACAATTTGAGACCAAATTGACGCCAAATATAAAGCAAAATCTGCGCAACACGACTTGATAGCAAAATAACAGCAAAAACCAAGCAAGACTTGCAGTTCAGTCAAACTACCCAGATAGCCAAGTCTGTCAAAAGCAGATCATGCAAGTGTCTGCTATCACTTGTTGTCAACAAAAAGGCTACAAATCTAAAAATACAGAAGTTGGTATTATTGATTAAGTCTACAAATTGGTGCCAAAAATCGAGCGGATCTCTCTCACAAAATCTGACAGCAGATTGGCTGCAGAAACCGAGCAAGATCTGCTAACATGACTTGACGTCAGATTGTCGGCAGAAACCGAACAAAATCTGCGCACGCACACTCTAACGGCAGATTGGCAACA